CCATACCCGTTGACACACCAACATGGATGGGAATATTTCACAAGGCCCTATCCCTAGAGGAAAAGCTACAAGCAGTGAATGGCTGTGGAAGGAGAAGACTCCACTTCTCCATGGACAAGTCCCAATAGGTTTCAATTCTGAGTGGGAAGTCCTAAGCACATAAACATATGGGACACTAACTGAACTCAGTAGGTCATATATGTGAGAGTAGATGCTTAGGTGTGTATAACAATAATAATTATAGAAGAGGTCATTAATTCAAGAGTATTTCTTATGCAGACACAAGGACCTTGATATATAGCACACACACTTTTAAAAAGTCAGGTGATCCCAGCACTTGTGAGGTAAAGACAAGCATATATCTGTGAGTTCAAGACCAGCCTGGTTTACATAATGAGTTCCAGGACAGCTGGAACTATGTAGCGAGACCTTGTCTTAACAAAACAAAACAAACAAACACACAAGTCAGGTGTGACCTATAACCCCAGTTCTGAGAGGAAGGAAGAGACAGGAGGATCACTGGACTGTAACTTGTATTCTTCCTGCCAGCAGCCTGGGCCCCATAGCTGCTTTAGCCCCCAAATAACACGAGAGACACTATATTAATTATGAAGCTGTTGGCCATTTGCTATTGTCTCTCATTAGCTAGCTATGACTTAATTATTGACCCATAATTGCTAATATATATTGGGTTTTATAGACAAGGTTTCTCTGTATTGTTTTGGAGGCTGTCCTTGAACTCACAGAGATCTGCCTACCTCTGCCTCCCGAGTGCTGGGATTAAAGGTGTGCACCACCAACGCCCTGCCTAATATATATCTTTATAAGGACTTATCCTTCTGAGGATGCCCTCCTGAAGTGTTGTTTCCTTCCAGGAGATCACAGGGCGACCACTCTTTACTACATTTCCCAGAATCCTCCTAGATCCCTAGTCCCACCTATCTTGTTTCCCTATTGGCCAACAGTGCTTTATTTATACCAATCAGACAAACATATACACAGAAGGACTTTCCCCCATCACTGGGCTTTGGTGTGATCCTGCTTAGTTGAAAACCATAACCACCCTAGGTTCAATGAGAGACCCTCCCTATGGGGAATTAAGTGAAGAGTGGTAAAGAAGGACCCTGATGGCACTGTTTGGCCACTACATGTCCATGATTACATGCCTGTATACATCCTTGTATATACCACACACATGTATACAAGACATGAGCACAAATGCATACACCACACATGCACACACACGAGATTTCTATCACAACCCCTTGCTATTTCTATAACTAATACCCCTCAAAACTACACTCCCACCTCTTCACAAATACCTTGATATCATGAAGTACTCAAAATAATGGCATGTAGTTAGTCCATGGTTAGAAATGGAATCTTAAAGGAGCAACTAATGTGTAGATTTTTATAACCTCTGGCATGTATTGACAAATGGCTTTTTATGGAAGCCATGACTATTTGTGCTCCCACTGCAAACTTAGGAGGTTATCTCAGCAATTCTACCAGAGTTAGTGCTATCCTTTCTTAATCTTCTGTGAGCCTTAGATGGCACAGATGCTCATATCAAAGTATAATACCATTGCAATGATTTTGCATTTCTTTGTGAGCCTGTGTGAGCTGAAACATTTTTTAAGCCATTTATAATGCTTTTGTGACTGTTTTGCTCTGTAGTAGTATCTTGCCTTGCCAGTGAATTTGTGTTAGTTGCCACACCCCTTTAGGTATGGCTTTAGGTTCAGACATGACCTGAAGGTAGAGAAGCATGGGGTGGGCTCTCTCTCTTGGATTGTGGATCACATGGGTAGAGCAGAGACTATCTTCTGGAGTAGGAATGCTGTCATGGTTCTTTACTATTATCTGTATAAGTTGTTCCCCAATAAAACACCCATTTATCATTTATCTTGGGTCTACTGAACTCATTAAAACCCCACCTTCAATTACCGCCTAATGTGGGCACCATTTTGTTGCTAGAGTTTCTTCCTACCTGCCCCCACAGCCGCCTTTGAGCCCCAAATAAACACACAAAGACTTATATTAATTATTAAACTGCTGGCCAATGCCTAGGGATTCTTAATGGCTAGCTCTGCCTTAATTATAAACCCATAAGTACTAATCTATGTATTTCTACATGACCTTCTATTACCAGAGAACACCTGGTGCATCCTATCCTCCAGGTCTCCTCACAGGCTGCCTACCTTTCCCAGAATTCTCCTCATCTCCTAGTCCCATCTATCATCTTGCCTCTATTGGTCAAACAGTGTTTTATCCATCTACCAATAAGAGAAACATATATATACAGAAGGACATCCCCCATCACTGTTCATGTCCTTTGTTCAGATTGCTTGTGTTTCAGGTATTGCTTTGTTAGTTTTCCTAGAGTGAGTGAGTATTAGTATTGAGGCAGAGTCTCCCCAGCCTGTCCTGGAATTCACAATCCTCCTGCCTCAGCTTCGCAAGCAGTAGGATTACAAGCATGCACCACCACAACTTGCTCATTTTTTCTGTGATAAGTGGTCATCCTAACAGTACATTTGAGCCTATCATCAGTTCCTTCACATTACGAGCGTTTACTGGTCACCATGATGCTGCATCTTTGCGTGGCTCCAGGGAGCTGACATGCCTGGAGAATGAAGAAAATCCGGACATGGGAACACACAGAAAAGCAGGGATCTGGTGGGCTAGGCTATCTGATAGAGGGGCTGTAGCACCTAGACGCACCCTGTGTTTATTATATACAGTTGAGTAGGAAGGTAGAGTTATTGCATACAGATAAACAAGGAGGTGGGGTTATGATATACATCTGAACAAGGAAACAGGGTTAGCTAATTTCAGTAGAAGCATTCTCTGTAGGAGGGCAGTCTGTAGGCCACATATGTGTGTGGGGAAGCCATCATGGATATTTTTTATACAGTCAACATTCACACTTGGACCAGAGGATTGCTTTGCCATCCCTCTGAGCCTCACAGGGAGGGTAGGTTGCTGATTTCCCATGGGTCTGAGACTTTGGTACTGATATGGCCATGTAAAGCAACACATTCACTCAGGACTTCACTTATTCAGGGCTTCCTCCAACCCCTATGCCACAGTGCATTAGATGCAATAATCTAAGTGCTGGGAGATTCAGGAAATGACCCTTGTTTCCATGGAGTTCATATCCCAGTAGTATTTCAGAAATCTGATGCTGTTACAGTATCAGAACAGTGTGTGTGATTTTTAATAGCACTGCTCACATGAGAGCCCCGTGCAGTAAACTCTGAGCTTAGGACTCAGCTACGAGTCAGTCCCAGCAGTGTGTCAGCCCATGCTCAACCCCGCAACACACCACACACACACACCATTCTTTTCATTAACTTTCTTTAACCAGGAACCAGCTTAGCCCTGCTATCATGTCCTGATTGGGTTTTATGTCAACTTGACACAAGCTGGAGTCATCTGACAAGAAGGAACCACAATTGAGAAAAATACCTCCATAAGACTAGCCCTTGAGCGAGTCTGTAGAATATCATCTTAATTAATGATTGATGTGGGAGGCAAGTGGTCCTGGGGTGTATTTGAAAGCAGGCTGAACAAGCTAGTAAACAGCATTCTTCCACGGTATCTGTTTCAGTTCCTGCCTTGAGTTCCTGCCTTGGCTTCCCTCAATGGACTGTAACTCAGGATACATAAGCTAACTTTCTTCCCAAGTTGCTTTTGGGAAGGGTTTTATCACAGCAATAGAAATATAAGACACAACCCCTGCACAGATCAGTTACTAACCTTCACTACACTTCTCAAAGATTTTGCCTGAAGCTCCCACATGTCCTCCTCAACTGAAGCCAACCCCTAACAAGATCAGCTCTCTAAAGTCTAGCTAAGCCTTGGAATTAGTCAGAGCAGAGGAGAATTTATTCTTTAATATTTTGGCATAAACAAAAAAGCAAGCCAGAAATTGGCTGTCTTCCAAGATAGCCAAGAAGCAGGTCCTAACCAAAATGGGCCCCCAAGCCCAGCCACATCCAAGCTCCCCAAAGAATCCAAAACCTTCTTGTGCAGCAGGGTGGGCAAAGAGATCTTTTGACACCAGACCTACTATACTTCCTGTTCCAGAATCCCTGAGCTCGCCTCAGACACAGCAACCCAGGTATGTGCACAGGTGTATGTGTCTGCATGTAGATGTGAATATGTGTGCTTGTGTGCATGTGATCTGACACACTTCTGTTTTGTCTCCACCCACACTTTTGTGACATTAGCTATCTGTATCTTTTCCAGGGCACAGGATTTCCCATCTCATCCCTACTGCCAGTGCCCATCATCCCTCTGGTGCTACCTTCTCCAGCTCCATCTTCCCATCACCTCCTTTCAGATGTACCCCGCCCCTCCTTGTTCTCCACACTGTGAGTCTGTTCTCCATGATGCAGGCCCTTTGCCCACCCTCCCTCAGCCTCCACAATCTCCCTTCAGTGGTTTTCTCCCTCTCACCATCCAGTAACAATTATGGGTAAAAGAGCTTGCAGCCAGATCTGAAGACCCAGCTTCAATTCCCAGGATTCCAAACAAGAGAACAAATCCCAACAAGTTATACTCTGGCCTCTACATTTGTCCAGTGGCATACCACCTGTACACACACAGAGAGAGAGAGAGAGAGAGAGAGAGAGAGAGAGAGAGAGAGAGAGAGAGAGAGAGAGAGAGAGAGAGAGAGAGAGAGAGGATTTTTAAAGAATCCCTGAAAGAACCCATCTTGATTCCAAGTACTGAGTACCTCCTTGGAGAGAACAATTAGGGGTCTTGCTGAAGAATATTAAAGGCCTTCCCTGGGAATATTGGGACAATGGAGAACATTGGATCTCTTACTGGGGAGTATCCCAAGACTGTGCTGAGGTGGAGAACTCCTGGGAACCATGGCAACTCTAGGCACCATGGCAACCTCAATCCCTATCCCTATGTAGGACCTAGTGACAGGAGAGAGGCCTTGGGAAGAAGCAGCCTGCCAGGAGAGAGGTATGAGACTGCCATACCCATGAGGTGAGAGAGCAGGGTCAGAGAGTGAGGAGCTCCTGGAGAGGCTTCCAGTTCCCATGATGTCAGTCTCATCTTCCTTCAGTGTTTCCCTAGAGTCCGCCGACACTACCAACAGGTCCCACTTCTACTCCTGCTAAGGAGGCTTTTGTGTCTTACCACCAACCCGTTCTTGACTGAGATAACTTTCAACACAGCTGCCACATTGTCCCCAGCGCCCACTTCCCATTCTTTTCTCCTGCTGGAATCTGTTTGCCCGAGACTATTGATACAGTCACACAGCACACAGAGCCTTGTTCTTTCCTTGAACAAATGCTGCTTGGCGTGGTCCCAAAGACAACAAGCAGCAACTCATGACTTAATCACACAACAGGTGAGCCGCGCCTTGCCAACACTTACACTAACTTGTCTCAGACCCACTGGAATTCTTTGCCTGCTAGAGTTCCCCAGCAACAATCCTGACCGCATGGATTCATTTGTGGGATAGCCAGAAGTGTGTAGCACCTGTGGCCCCCAACAGCAGGAGGCATTCCAGCTGTGAGGGCGGAGCCCTGCGTAGGAGGAAGCATGGGCAGGATGTATTCCAAGGAGCACTCTTCAACAGGAACCACTTAGACCTTCTGAAATGAGATTAATGGTTCCCATGGCAACCGGTAAACCCAAGAGCCCTCAGAAGACTGGAGCATTCTTAAAACTCCTCTGAACAAAGGTTACCCACCCTCTGAAACAAGCTTCTTTCTGCCGCAAGCCAGCCTTTCTCCCTTTTACTTTTGGTTGAAAGTGAACATCTTCCACATTTTAGTATGACTTTGTCTACAACAAACCATCTGTTCTAGACTATACTGCTGTACTGGAAGGTGGGAAGTTTCAACCACTAACTATTCTAGAACTGTCTGTGAAGTACTGCTGTTTGGGAATGTGGACAATTATTTCATTCCTTATTGTTCCCTTTCTCTTTCCCTTTGCCTCTACTGGGCTCTCATTTCCCCTCTTTCCCCTCTCCCTCCCTGCCTCCCTCCCTCCCTCCCTACCTTTCTCTCTCCCTCCCTCTCCCTTCTCCCATCTCCCTTTTCTTCTCTCCCTCTCTGTCCCTTATGCAATACTCATTTCCAGTCCTCACCTCACCTTCAGATGAAAACCTTGGTGTCACATAGCTCAAGTCCTTTTGGGAAGACTTCCAAGCAGGACCAGCACAGTGTTGAATACTCAGTTCTAACAAATGGCAGGCACTTTTCCCTTGGACAAGGTCCATAGTTTTGACAAGCTTTGCAGTGCCCTCTCTGTCCTTCCCTGAAGTTTGCTCTTTCAGGAGCCACTGCTGGCAATGGAGACTGGCACACCACATTAGAAAGACCAAAAGCATGCTCTTTTTGTTCATTTTTTAATGTTAACTGATTTGCTAAAACATAAAAACTGTGCATACTTACACAGTGCCATGTGATGCTCGATACATAGGTACTCTTAGTAATGGTTAAATTGGGATCAGCATCTCTAGCTCCTCAAGCGTCATCCTCTCTCTCCCTCCCTGTCTCTCTCTCTTCTTTTCTGTGATGTTGGAGATCATCACATCCTACACTTGCTAAGCCAGCCTTTGGTCCATTTCTTTATGGTGAAACCATTCCAGATGCTTTCTTTTTCCTCTTTGAGAGACTTTTTACAATGCACCACTGTTGTCTACAGCACCTTACCACCTTGCTACAACCCAGCTGTGTCTTAGGACCCATAGAGCTATGAATGAGCCTTAATATTGGTTGTTTCACCCTAAGAAAACCACTACTCTCACTTCACCTATCCACTCCAGCTTTGTCATTGTTTTATTGTTTGGGTGGTTTTTGGTTTGTTGTTTTGTTTTGTGTTTTAGGTTTCTTGTTGCTATTATAGTTTGAGATTAGGGATCTCACAATGCAGCCCTGCTTGGCCTGGAATTTATGATGCAGACTAGGCTGACTTTGAACTCACAGAGATCTGCCTGGCTCTGCCTCCTGACCTCTGTATTTATTCTTAGACAATCTCATATATTATATAGTGTATCTGATCATATCTACCTATCACACTCTCTTATCGTCACTCATCCGTTTCAACCTCTTATCCATAACAGTCTCTTCTACTTCCAAGCCCTTTTTTAAAAAATAACCCTTGAGTTTAATTAGGGTTGCTTTAATAAGCATAGGTGTGAAGTTATTAACAGAAAGATGACTTTCCCTTCTCCAACAGCCACTAACTATCAATAAACCCTCATCAAGGTGTGTGACCTTAAAAGTATATACAGGTACCATTGGAGACTAGAAATACCAGATCCCCTAGAACTGGAATTACAGTATTTGTGAGCTGCCCAACATGGGTGCTGGGAACTGAACTCCAGTCCTCTGTAAGAGCAGCAAGCAATCTGAATTACTGAGCTCTCCAGCCCAGAAATTGCCCTTGTATAAAGAACCCAACCCCATAATAACAGCATTAATACATTCATGATGGTGGTACCCCCATGACCTTCCATTAGGCCTCACATCATATCATGATTTTATTGGAGATGAGTTTCCACCTAGCACATGAACTCAGGATGCACTCAAATCAAGGCATTTGTCATACTTGATTTTCAAAAGATCACATCCAGGCACTGGTACCAGAGGAAGAGAGGAAGCCACAGGCACACTTAGCTTCAGGGAGCCCTTGCCCGTGCCGTCTTGCCTTTCTTCTTGCCATTGGCAGCCTTGAACTATGCAACAGTTCATTTTCCTGATTTACAAATAAATTCATTATGTTGTTCATCTTCTATGCTTCACGGACTTTCTTCTGTACCTTTAGGGTTACCTTTGTTAGTTTTGATTACAGACTTCTGTTACTAAATAAAGTGTCTTCATTATGAAAATATCTACAAGAAAAATCTTTAAAAACTGTGAGTACATTAGTTTTCCATTACTAAAGAAATGTTGAAAGTAAACAACCATAAGGAAACAGAGTTTTATTGTGATAAGTCTTAGAAGTTTTGGCCATGATTGATTGACTGCATTGCTCTAGCTATGAGGTGAGACATGATGGAAATATGGAAGAGCAAAGCTAACTTGCCTCATGATCATGAAGTAAAAAGAGAAAAAGGGCCAGGGACACACTGCCCTATTCAGGGACACACCCCAAAGACTCCAAGACCCAGCTCTTACGGTTTCTACCCGTTCTAGCAACACCACACTGAGAGCCAAAGTCAGATACAGCTCTAGCAATGGTGTGTGAGTTCCTACTCTTTTAATTTAGCTTTTAATATCCCAAGTCTTCTTAGGAATGTGCTTATAAGCTTACTATTAAACCAGTGAACAATGAAATCTATTAGCCAGGATGACTTTCTGATCAAGCAAGCTTCAGATGTGCTGTAAGCCCAAGGACTGGGTTAAAAGTCAGGATATACTTTACAGTCTGTCAGGGCCCCACTGCTGCGTGGAATCGGTCCCTGCAAGGGTAGTGCCTTCTATCCCAATTCTCTGTGTATCATGTTACTACCTGCCCTTCTCTTCAGTGCAAGACGTCATGACCTACCCACTCAGAGGGAGGATCTTTGACAAATGGTTGACAGTGATTCTCAAGCTATACCTGATTCTTGAGTGTAAAACAAAATAACAGATTCAAGGTCTAGAGAAATGGCTCATCGGTGAAGAACACTTGCTACTCTTACAGGGATCCTGGTTCTGTTCCCAGCACCCACCTTAGGTGACTGACAATCACTCTAAGTCTACTTAGGGGAGATCCAATACCCTCTTCTGGCCTCTGTGGGCACTGCTCACATGTGGTGCACATATAGGCAAACAGATGCACATGTATGTACACACATAAATATTTTTAAACTTTTACTTAAAAAAGAAAAATATCTAATTCATTAACAAGGAAAGATAATCCAAATGTATTATTAACTAAAACATGAATTTTATAAAAGGTATCCCTGAACTGGATTCAGAAAGGAGGTTGGGATGGCAAAGACAGATTATGAAGAAAGTACAAGGAGGATATTGTGACAATCCAGCCTGAGAGTGGCCTGGACCAGTGCCCTGAAAGTGGAGAGAAACACATATCAGGCAAATTATGATTAGTCAGATTACAAACCATTGAGATTTTCATGCAGATTAGCTGGAAACCCTATCTGAATTCAATTATACTTCTCTTTCACAAGCTTTGGAATAGAAGTTACAAATCATAGCAAGAGTGAGAAACAAATTGATTGTATCATGATAATCGAGGTTGTAAATGTAACAAATAATGCCCACACTTTTTATAGATTAAAAAACTAGTGTATTTGTTTCTCCCTCTTCTGCCCAACACAGGTCAGTTTATCACAGTCATTCAGGAACCCAGACTGATATAGCTGACTGATCTCAAGGAACAATTGTACAATCACGATGGCAAAGGGAAGGAGAAGTACTTGGTATAACACTGAAGTGTCTTGTCAGTCGGCTTGGCTAGCATGAGTAAGCCCCCATATAACATTTACCTGATGAAATCCAATTTCAGAACCTGAAAACTCAGGGTTCCATTATGGAAATGCACCCAGGAAGGTTCAGGAGTTCAAGGTCATCCTCAGCTGCATAGTGAGTTTGAGACCAGCCTGGAATACATGAGATCTTTCCTCAAAAAACCGTAAGGGAGTAGGGAGATGGTTCAACATATGGCGGTTTAAATGACAATGGCTCATGGGTTCATTTGTTTGAATGCTTAGTCACCAGGAGTGGCGGTATTTTAAAAGGAGTAGGAGGTGTGACCTTATTGGAGGAAGTGTGTCACAGGAGGGGGGTCAGCTATACCAGCCCACCCTCTCATCTCTCTCTCTCTCTCTCTCTCTCTCTCTCTCTCTCTCTCTCTCTCTCTCTCTCTCTCTCTCTCTCTCTCTCTCTCTCTCTCTCTCTCTCTCTCTCTGGATCAGGATGAAGCTCACAGCTTTGCCTCCAGCCCCAATTAATGTTTTCTTTGTAAGAGTTGTGTTGGTCATGGTGTCTCTTCACAGAAGTAGAATTGTGACTAAGACAGCAGATAAAAGCACTTATTTTGCGAGCCTTAATAACCTTTCTAGTCCCCAGAACCAATGCTGGAAAGAGAGAAGTGATTCCCCAGAGTTGTCCTCTGCCCCAAAGATACACACCATAGTATGTACATGTCTGCACATGCATACATACAAATAATGATATTGATAATAATAAATAACAACAACAAATTTTAAAACAAAAAGTAAGGAAGGGAGCCGGGTATTGGTGGAGCACGCCTTTAATCCCAGCACTCAGGAGGCAGAGGCAGGTGGATTCTGTGAGTTCAAGGCCAGCCTAGTCTACAAAGTTCTAGGACAGCCTCCAAAACAATACAGAGAAACCCTGTCTCGGAAAAAAAAAAAAGTAAGGGAGGAGGGACACTGGGAGGGAGGTTAGAAAGGAAAAGGAACCATAGGAACTATAAAGGCCCCATCCTCTCGGCCTGTAATATGCACACCATATCTACCATATTGCTATTGTCAAATAAAGATCCTAGAAAGAGTATAGGTAGTTAACAAGACATTGTATTAGCAAAAAATATTTTTCACTTATCTTTTTAAGGTGGCATATATAATCACCCCCACTAGTCAACATTTCTGGTTAAATGGCTGTATTTAATAAACATTTTCCTACAACTTTGTTTAAAACATGTTAGTATTGAAGCATACTGTTTGTCTGGGTGTGGGGGCACACACCTGTAATCCCAGCACTTGGAAGATGGGGGCAGGAGATTAGAACTTCAAGTTATGCTTTAGTACATGCTATCTGAGGTCATTCTGAGCTAGAGGAGAACTTGTCTCTATAAACAAAACAAGAAAGCAAACAAAAGTAAGATACTTTCCCTGAGTATCTTATATTAGGGCAACTAAGCTGTGTTTGAAGAATGATCGATTCTATTGAAATTCTAAGGACAGCACTTCTACTCTTACCAGCTAAGCTCCAGGATCTGTTCTAGTTTGCTTTCTGCTGCCATGGCAACCTTACAGGTTTCAGGCTATCACTGAGGGAAGTTGGGACAGGAACTAAAGACAGGAATCTGGAGACCAGTAGTGAATCAGAAGCCATGGAAGAATGCTGCTTCCTGGCTTGCTCTCCAGACTCACGCTCAGCTACCTTTCTTTAACCTCCCAGGACTACCTGCTCAGGGCTGGCACCTCCCCCAGTAGACTGTGCCCCTGCCCATCAATGATTAATCAAGTGGGAAAATGTTGCCACAGACTTGCCTATAGGCCAATCTGATGGAACTGTTTTCTCAATTGGACTTCCCTCTTCTCTGATGACCCTAGTTAATGTTAAATTGAAAAACAAAACAGAAAACAAAAAACTTAAACTATGTTGGATCACAAACAAAATTTGCCTTAGGAATCTACTTACACACTACTCTAAAACATTTCATTTTGGAAAATGAATCTTTTAACAGTTTTTTTTAATCACTCAGCTTTTAGGAACTGCACCAAACCCATGTAAGCCCAAGCCAGACCAAAATCCATCACATCCTCACCCCCAGCTGTGGAGCAAATGTAGTTGTAGCCCGTCATAAACCAAGCAGTTTATCCAGTGGAAGTCCACACACCCCAGAGTCTTTGGACAGCACAAATTGGTCTTAAAGAGCTTAAAATAAATGAGACACAAAGTTGGGGGGATCTGCAAAGACTTGGGGGATGAATATGATCAAAATACATTATGTGAAACCTAAAAACTCTTAAAGAAATAGCATAATGATAATAAACCACTTGGGAATGCACCCTGTCACTATCTGTGGCTAGGGTGTGAAGAGACAATGAATCTTGTAATACTAAACTAGCATTTTCAGTGACTCTCATTAAGTTATTCCCCTTTGTTAGGCACGAGTCTTCAGTCATTCTGCGGTGTAAGCAATCCCTCCTGTAGCTGTTCACTTCCCTCCATCAGCATCCAGCTCCAGAACTGGACAATTCCATTACAGAAATGCACCCAGGAAGGCTCAGCCTCTAACAGACAGCAGATCTGTTCCTTTCCATTCCACTCCTTGTGTGTACAGAGGTGTGTGTGTGTGTGTGTGTGTGTGTGTGTGTGTGTGTGTGTTCGTGATTTTAATCACTCTCTGACATTTTGGGTAGCACGATGTGGTTCCCTACAGTACAGCATCTCATTGCACCTGTCATAAGGATACATTCCTTAATCTGATGCTGAAACACATGATGCCAGTACAAATTACAATAACGCTTTCTGTTCCGAGCTTCTATTCCTGATTATATTCATTCACCTATGTCAGTAAAGGCCCATGGGTATCCAAACAAGACTTGACTTGAAGTTAGCCAGTAAGAGCTTCCTGCCAGCTGGGGCCATCTTGGATTTTTCTCAGTAGGTGTCCATGGATGACTTTTGTTGTTGTTGACAGAGTATGTGTTAATCTAACTTTGTGAGAAATTGTATACCTATCACGTTCTATTTAAGACTATGGTTTTACAAAGCACATGTTACTTAATATTATAACTAAACATATTTAATATTCCTCTGACCATCACAGAGAGGAGCTCAAATTTCATATAACCACATGGAAATATTTAGTGAGCACACACAAGTGACACCCACTAAAATGGGTCAGAGAGAAACAGCAGGATTTATTTCCTCTCCCTAATCTGCTCTTTCATTTCAGACTCCACTCATTCCCTATTGGCCAGATCAAGCAGCCCCCCACCCCCACCCCTGCCCACCAACTGTCCTGGATTTGGGGCAGCTGATGCCAGCATACCTGTTGGTTTTTAGCAAAGTGTTCTTTGGTTGATCAGAAATGGATCAGGTGTGCCCCAGGGTCCTGTTCTTTTTATGTTCTTCTCATGGGTCTCCAGAAAAGAGCTATGGAAGATGCCAAGCTAAAGGGCAATGGCAGGGATTCAGCCAGATCACACCTGTCAAGGGGGAAGAAGGACTTTTGAGTGAGCCACACTCTTAAATGACTTGGCTCTCAGGGGGTTGGGTGGAGTGGGGTGGTTCGTCCAACAGAATCTCTTTGCAGGCTCCTGGCTACTTGCTTCTGCTGCTCCCCAGTCTGAGCTGTGCGTCTTGCTCCTGGGAAGTCAAACACTTGACTCTCCATGATGGCACAATGAAACACCCACCTAAGGTCCCCCACCATGCAGACATTATTATTCTTGAGACCAGTGGTGCTCGTTGAAGCTCACTGTGAAGAAAAGCATATTTGCCTTTCTTTTCCTCCTTTTTTGTTCTATCAACAGGCACAAGCTTGCTTAAGTAATCTATCAAACATGGTTCCCCTTCCTTCCTGGACAAACTCAGAAGTCATATTACCTCTCAGAGCCTAAAGCTTATGGTCCATGAGCCAAGGCGACCAATCCGTGCCCTGCCCACCGCAGACAGATGCAGGAGGCATCTGTCAGATGTGAATAGGGCCCTGTGAGCTAGCTGTCAGTCCCACCCAAACATCACACATTTTTCCTCGGGTTTCATATGGGCAGCGCTGAGTGCCTTTTAGCCAAATTGTCTGCAAATGGGGAGAAGTCTACTTAGCTGTGAGTTAACTTCCTGGTGAAACAAAGAGACAAGACTTCAGGACGGGGCTCAAGATGGCTTCCTGCTTTTAAAAGCTTAGACTGTCACATGTGATTAAGTTCCCAGGCCACATCCCCTCCTCTCCAGTTCTGACTCACACTGAGGAAACATTAGGATACAGGACCTCTCCCATCCCCTCCTCTGCTTTGTCTACCTTGAGGTCATATGGTGAATTCCGTCCCTTCTGACTTCTAGAAGGTACCCCATAATTTGGACAACTGGCAGTATAGAAGAAAGGGTTCCATGAGCTTCCTTGAATCAGCAAATAGAGCCGAGAAAGACTCCTCATGGCTCTTCCATTCTACGTGGCTGTCCTGTGACTTCCCTGTCCTTGCCGGTTAGTACTCTGGACTCTGGATATGCCATCTAGCAATCAGTAAGGCCTGCCTGCCTGGTCTTCAAGGACAGTGGCTACATAGTCTGAGCATGTCGCTTCCGTGTGTGCTCCATGCTGACCAGCACCTCTGCAGATCTGAAAGACAAATGGGAGGAGACTGGTGTACTCGTAGGAGGCACCTCAGGCTGCCTACAGATAATGTGACAAGCCCAGAGATTCATGACCAGGGGAACCATGCGAAGGCGCTGCCAGGACAGCACGCGCAGCTGCTGCTGAAGATTGTCCCCTCCCCCCTCCACACACACACAGTTCTGATAGTCACTAAGCCCAGGCAGCCGCCCAGCCTACAGTCCACTTCCAGGCATCTGCTTCCCCATCCCCAGAGAAGCCAACCACAGCCACTCCAGCTCTAGTGAGATTACATTGGACTTATCTCTATATTCCAAGTGCCCCACACCAAGCAAGTCCACATTGCCATGTTAAATATTGATCTCGTGATCAAATACATTAACTATCACACCTGCTAAAAGAGTCAGGCCCTTGAAAGAACTTTGTTCCAGCACAGCCCTGACCAGCATCCTTGGGCCCTTCCATAACAATGCTGGAATTGCATCACACCCCAAACATGCTCTCACCAGTCTTAGTTGGTTCAGGATGGAGTCTCAGATATCAGCTCTCTGACATTTCATTCCCTCCACATGAACTGAGATCAGTCCCATCAGGTGAGGATTATCTTAAATACTTGCCAAAATACGACCTCAGCAACCTGAAGGGAAATATTTCTCCACTAGTAACCTTAACTCTGGCTCAACCACCTGCTCCTGTTCAAGAGTCCTTTTCATTGTAAATCTATTTTGTTGTGTATTTTACAAGGTTAAGGAATATGGTCAGAGGGGAGAAAGATCAGCTTAGGTTTTTGTTGGGGTTTTGTTGTTGTTGTTTTGAATTTATTTAAAGTTACCAAAGTATACCTAGCCATATTACCAAGAAATATATAATTTTTTAAATCTATAATTTCTAAGAGTCTCAGACAAATACTCTAGAGGGATCCAAAGGAGGTTTCAATTCTCCTGCCTCTACAACCTCTCTGATTAGTGAGCAGCCACTTAGCTATGTACAAATGATCCTGATAAAAATTGGACCAGTGCATCGACCAGAAAAAGGGAACTAAGGCTGGGTCCAGTTGGTACATAGGGAGAGGTATAACTTAGCTTTGGAGGTGGCTGAACATTCATCAGAGTGATAGAAGACAGCAGAGGTATAGCACACACATAGGAATCAGCAGTAGCTAAATCAAGGGGTAGACATCAACTAGATGTTTAGCATTTGAAGGCTATGTCCTCTTTTTATACTCACAATACGACAATAAATTAGGTACCACAGTTTCCATTGCTCACAGGAGGAAGTCAAACCTTAGGAAGTTTAGTGGTTGGGTCAGTCCAAGTCAGGGTTCTGTTACTCACATGGGGCAGAGCCAGGATTCTAACCCCTGTACAGTTGACTCCAATGCCAGTGTTTGCCCTCCTTCCCGACATTGCATGCGTCCTGGGGAAGAGAAAGACAGCAAGGCATATTGTAGGGACATCAGCTGAGTGTGGCCAGGAATGACAGGGAGTGAAAGAATAAGGAAGACACATGAGAATGGGGAGATGGAAGAGAAAGTCCAGGGAAGATAATTGTGTTTGTTTCTTAAGAAGGAAGTTAGAGGAACTCTAAAGTTACCAGGTCAGAGCAAAGGGAGGCTGAGAATTACAAGAGATAATAACTGAGTAAGGTCCCGGTTGAAGAAGAGATGAGTTAGGGGCACAGGCAGAAATCTAGAAAAAGCAAGGGACATTTCTTCCCCAGACAGGGTGAGAAGAGAAGACAAAGAGGTCTGTGTTTTAAAAGAAAAGCAAGAAAGAAACCTCAGTGGCTTTCTCCTCTGTTGCAGAGATGAGATGAGCAGGGTCAGATAGGGATGGAGCAGAGTGGAAAAGATTCAGAGCAGCTGTTGCTGGAATCTGATAGGGAGCTAAAAATGGAGTTGAAGGAAGATGCCTGCGGGCACTGGGAGAGTCGAGGCAGGAACATGCAGGGGGTCCGATTACTGCCAGGGGCCCAGGTCTCTTCAACAAGTTTCAGTCTGAGATCAAAAAGAGATGAAAGGGTTGTCCAAGGAGACTCACTTAGAAGGTCAAAGAGTGAGGAATGAGGTACTTGTGAGAACTTGGCCAAATCACCTCACCAAGGAATCCAAGTTCCAAGAAGAGGGGCAGAGATACAGCCAGCATGAATGCAAGACGCCAAAAATTAGGGAGGAGCCATTGGGAGACTGAATAGGAATGAGCAGGACCAGGGGCCAGGAGCTGTGGTTACAGAGAGCACTTCAGGGATGAAAGTCTGGAGACAGAGCCTCCTATGCGAAGTAAGGCCCAAGGGTGTGGCTAGGCACTGAATGACAGAGATGCTGAAGATGGAGAGGTCACTAGAGATGAAGAAGCCAAGGAAGTGGGGGACTAAAAGAAGGACCTACTGATCTGAAAGCAGAACAAGATTCATGGGTGGGAAGGGTGGCAGAAGACAAGGATGGGGCCATCTGCTAAGCACACAGGAGAAGTGGCTGTCACAAGACAGAGATGGAAGAGAGTCTTCCCTTATGAAAAGGGAAGCCAGCTTGATTTCTGGTGAACTGTAACCATTTCTCCACATCCACGACAAGCTGGTTCCACTGCAGGGAGAGAACACCCAAGCCCGTGGATGCTCAAGTCCCTTCAGTAAGATAACCCTGTATCTGGATAGCCCCATGTGACATAGTCAACCTCACTGTGGATGGATGGCTCTGCTGGAAGCCTTCCACTCCTTCAAAGGCCTGCAGAGACAGCCATGTTCCCTCCTGTCTGAGAGGAATCTGGGGGTACCATGTCTAAAACAAAATCTCATAGAAGCATCTTTAGTCTTTACAATTCATCACTTGAAGCCCTCGCTGGTGTTCCATGGCCACCCTGCCCATTCCCCATGTCAATGTCTCTCTTAATACATGCTCCTGAGCATCATAAATGGCACAGACCTAGAGAGAGCTGGTTTGTAACAGCCACTTTTTTGTTTGTTTGTTTTTGTTTCTCTGTATTGTTTGGGAGGCTGTCCTGGAACTCGCTCTGTAGACCAGTCTGGCTTCGAACTCACAGAGATCTGCCTGCCTCTCCTTCCCAAGTGCTGGGATTAAAGGCATGCATCACCAATACCCGGCTATAACAGCCACTTTTTAATTCACTTAATCCTCACATTGTATGGCAATAGTACTCTTATCCCCATTTACCCATGAGGAAACTGAGATGGAGAATGGGAAATAACTGGTCAGTCGCACAAAGTCAAGTTTAGTTTAAGTGATCGGGATGTGCCCATAACCCCATGCCAGCCTTCATTCTTGGCAACATCAGCATCACTAGGGAGTTCTAAGCACAACTGAGCCTGGGACTCACTTTTAGAAATCCTGTTTCTACTGTATCATGTATCATCTGATCACCGGAGCTTTGAAAAGACATCCAAGGGACACTTCAGTGCAGCAAAGATTCTAGTCACCACCAGGGTACTATGGTCAGTGCCTGGTGGATGAAAGGGATATGATGGAGATTTCCAAGGTTCTCTGGTAAACAATAAGACCTGGGCATATTCCGACACAGTGATGAAAGCCAGCCTCTCAGGAAGACTAAGTGAATAACTGTTGAGGGGCTGTGAGTTGTAAGAGTTGTAAGAGTCTCAGGGGATCCCATTCTCTAAGGAGAGAAAAAGAAGACATGAAACCTTGTCCTTACGAGGCACTCAGCTTCTGGGTGTCCACACCAGCCACAAAGTCATCTTCCTCAGATTAGCAACAGCTTCCATAGGGACCAACACCAGGACTTCCTGGCTTCTTTGCAAAAGCTGGAGGAAGATGAAGAGAGACTACGAAGTCTATACTCTTCTCTTGTTGGTTTTGTACATTAGTACAGGGTGAGCCCTTTTTCATATTGCACACAGTCAGTCCTAATGATCCTGCCTACTCTTGACTTATTTCCGGGACAAATTCTCTGAGAAGTTTGCTACTGTCTCTTCAGGATAGGACTTGACACTTGACCCAGTTCTTCTTAAAGTTTTTCCTATATAGGACACAGTTTTAGATGTTAAAAAATGTACAGTAAGTAGAATTTCCTTTTTCTGCTTGTTATTGCATAATTCTATTTTTCCTGCACTAACAAAGTCCACTGAAAAATCTTTGTTTTCTTTTTTTTTCCTATGTAGCCAAGGCTGGTCTCAAACTCTCCATCCTCCTATCTCAGCCTCCTGTGTGCCCAGAGTACAAGTATGTACCACCACACTTGGCTTCCATGAATCTTTTTGTGGCTGTCCGTGAATGACTGATGGGTCCTGGCTTGCCTTACTGGCCTTCTTCCCAATTTGGGGATAATTTGTCATTCTTCATTATTAAAAATATAGATTTGTTGAATAAAAGCCCATCTTCCCCTCTTCAAGTAGTTTCCTAGAGGCACACTTCCCCAAAGAAGGTGAGATTAGGTCTTTGAACTCAAAGATCTTACAAAGATATTTGAGAGACCAAGATGGCACCACGCAGGGTCACACACATGGGCAGGTATTGGACTTGCTATCTCCCCCTCATGGGGACTCCCACCTCAGAGGACCCCACATGCTGTCCTTCATAAAGGGTGGCAAAGGGGATTGACCAGTAGGAGGCTCCAAGGAGAGAGGGAAGAGAGGACAGAGAGAGTGGAGGGCTTCTGGAGGGAGGTGGGCAGAGCATGTGCTCCCACCAAAGTGTCTATCAAGGGTCTCCCACACATAATGGCTATTAATTCACCCCTTCAGGATTCAAGCTGGCAATGCTGTTCTCAAGGACAAGTCATTGAAGAAAACTTTACGACCTGTCCACACTATACCCTTGCTTGCTGCAGGAGCCTAAATGATATGCCACAAAATCACAGAATCACAACTAGGGAGTCTAGGCACTGTGGATAGACCCAGGGAGTCTAGCCACTGTAGGTAAGGCATGGCAATCTTGCCAGTAGTATCTGCTAGGTGGCATGCATGCAGGACCCACCAAAGTACAGAGATAAGAACAAAATGTGAGGATATAAATGAAGACCTTCTAGATA